TGTTCTTTCCCCTCCATTGTCTTTTTTTTATCTTAAGAGGGGAGTTTGGGGGGGGGAATGATAGGAGATGTTTAAGTTGATTTACTAACTAACGCTATTACAGGTTGTGTACCTGGTCCTAAGAACCAAATCATCCGTGTTCAAGATGCCCTCGGTAAACCATGGCCAGAGGGTCCCATGACCACTGCTGAACTTAAGCCTCAGGAGGTCCTGGCCGCGGCGGCTGATGTTGCTGCTGCTAGTGCTGAGGCTACTGAGGCTACCACTACTGCTTAGATGTATGAGTATGTCGAATAAGAGGAAGGCATTGTATCATATTATGCGATTGAGGCGTTGGAAAATGCATCTTGTCTGGGCGAAATCAGCGTGCATGTGTGTGTGTGGAGGAGAATCGATGTAGAAAAGGTGTACATGATACCGTAAGACTAAGAGAAACATGAACATGATCGAATTCGTATTCAGCCATCGTATAAGAAGAAAGTTTCATAACTCATTATGCTCATCGCTAAATCAAAACCAAAACCATGCAAAACAGAATAAAAAAAAAGTTCAAAAAATCATCATCATCGTCATCTATATCCCCACTCCACCCTCCCAATACCGTCTTCCCCCCATCGTCTCGCCCCTATTCCCAACACCCCAGCCTTTACTATAACTATGCTCTTCTTCATCTTCATCTTCTTCCTTCACTCGCTCACGTGCACTATACATCTTCCCCCTCGCATATCTCCCTCTCCTATCATCGACACAATCATCATCATCATCACTAGAAACATAATCACTTCCCTCTCCCACCCCATTATCATCACTGTACACCGCTCTCGGTTCGTACTTGTCGTCGTCTGAAAAGTGGCGTCTCGCATGATCTTCTTCGTCGTCGTCACTGGGAAGGTAATCGCTTCCCTCACCAATCCCATTGTCGGAGCTGTAGGATGAACGGCGGTGTGTGGTAGTCACTGCACGGCTGAAGGAAGGCGGGGAACGGTGTCGAGGAGGAGAGGGGGAAGGGGAAACGTAAGATGGGGCAGTGGATGGGGCACGAGAGCGTGAGCGAGAACGTGAGATGTAGGAAGGGGTTGTGGATGGGGGGCGGGAAAGGTAGGAGCGCGTGGTTGATGGGTCGCGACCTAGAGAATCCACATCAGAGTAATGTGCAGTATCTCGAGTAAGCATTTTGTAGCTTGGACGACGCTCGTAGCGGTCGAGTCGGCTTTGGCGGGGGGGTTGGCTGAAGCCCGTGGCGCGTTCAGGAGACGATGCGTATGTGTCGTCTTTGTACCGGTGGGAGCTGCGGTACCAAGCTACGGATGCGTCACTGGCGGCTTCGAGTCGCTTGCTCTTTGCGTTGCTGCTGTTTCGACGCGAGGAAATGTATGTTGCAGGGCGTTCCCTGGATACACTGCTGTGGCGTGAGCGCAGGCTCCGGGCATCGTCGCGGTCCTCGTCGCTTGAGTAGGCGCCGATGGGGCGAGCGGTGTGCTTGATGTCGAGGGCGCGGAAGCGCTCGAGAAATTGCCTTGCTTCGTGGAAATTGTCGAGTTCATGCGGCTTGAGGGGCTTGACGCGGCTGCGACTACGGCTGCGGCTACGGGTCCGGGCCCGCGCTGTGTCGTGCTTGCGGTCCCAGTTGCTGCTGGTCAGGTCGGAGTCGCGGTGGTGATGGTGCCGCGGTGGATCATTGTCGTAGTCTTTGGGAGCAGCACGGGGTCGACGCGGTGGACTCTCTTGATCATAGGATTTAGGGGCAGAGCGTTGGGGCGGTGAGCTATCGTCGGGTCGATATTGGGTGTATCCACTGTTGTACTCTGGTGTTTCGTAGTCGTCGTCGTCGTCGTCGTCCACAAAGGCGCCGGGCATACGACTCGCCGGCGTAGCAATATAATCATCTTCTGTCCGGACGGACTGTGCAATATAATCCGAACTAGGGGACGGGGTCTGGTACCGCGCGGGCCATTGTTGGCGGCGACGCGGGGGAGTTGTGTAATATGATGGCTTGTTATTAGTCCCTCGTTCCCGGGGGCTGTACGGCGAAGTCATCAGAGAGGGCCTTTCATGATACCGTGCAGGACTTGGGGTCGGTTCCGGATCCTGCGAGTTGATGTAGTCGTTCGAGTCCGAGTACACTGGCTCGGAGATGTAGTCTGACGACCAAGTTGCAGCAGGGCGTTGGAGGGGTCGAGATGATTGGCTGGGGTAGCGGTGTGGTGCGTTGTACTGCTTGGCCTGCGTTCTACCATGATGCTGGCTGCTGCCATATGTTCGGTGGGCCATCCAGGATGCGTGTGAGCTGCACGCTGGCTGCACAGTTCCAGCTACAATGACGTTCTCCTGGGTTGGTGGGTAAGGACCGGCGTGGAGATAGTGCTGGGTTCAGGGTTGGTCGGACCCGGTCGGGTGTGTTGTTTGGCAACCGACAGGGCCTTTGCCGACACGTGGTCAGGGCTCAGCCGAAGGCGTACCACTAGTCCCGCCTTTCTGGTCCAGGCCACTCTCTATTGGAACAACCTCCTTCTCCCTCCCTGGTTGCCATCTACCCACTGCCGCATCGCCAAGAAGTGCATATTGCACGAGATTCGACATTAAGTACTCGAAGAGAATTCGGACCTTTTGGCTCTCCCATGAATCTATACACGACTGACCTTCTCCTGCCAGGCAACACTAGCGACCAGAGCACTATCGAGTGGACAGACGACACACAAGCCACTACTATATCCACCAGGTTCAATTCAACAAAAGCCCCGGCCTGTACACATGGTCAAATATACTTGGTGCATGTATCTCAACACGTGATCTTTCACTGATCAATGCTGTTTCACGTCCCATATGGCATCATGTTTGATCATTCCACCTATTGGAAAGGACGGTTCCAAATAAATCCACATCTTGTGTGCCTCCAAGAATCCTACGTCTTGAACTGATCAGCCTCGTCATCTCAACCCTGATAGGGCTAATATACCTGTTCCTAACTAGACTCGCCCAGGAATGGCCATGTGGGGTCAACACCAGCCGCCTCATGCTGACATGAAACACCAACATCCGCTCGCCTCCTAATCCTGTCCCGTGCCAAGCCACGAATGCATAAACATACCCAACGCCTGTCTGCATCCGTTTCGCGGCAATCACAATGCCCGCAGCTCGTCAATCTTGCACTGCTCGCAACGCCCTTGCCTCCATGGATCCTCCCAATCGAATCATGTATCCTTGACTCCAGAATACTGGTAGAATATTCCTCCGGAGCGCAAGGCGCGACTCATGAGTTTGATATGTACCCCTACCCGGTGATGAACGGGTCCTCAGGACCCAGTATTCACACCTAGGGAATGTTTCTCAGATTGGCCTGTGGGGCTTGCTTCGAAACAGCCTCCTCCGAAGCCCGTCTATTATAAAGATGGGACTGGATCTGCCACCATGGAAAACCATCACAATAGCATCGTCTTTCACACTCTCTCTACTTCTTTCATCTGCACATTCTTTTTTTTTCTAAGCAAACTGCGTTTGCTATCCACTCTCTCTAGTTTTTGCATCAACAAGAATTGAACTATGAAGTACTCTCTCTTTGCCGCTGTTGCGGCAGCTCTCGCTACCGTTGTCAGCGCTGCCGATGGCGTCAAGGGTGCTGCTGAGGGTTTCGCTAAGGGTTCGTCAACTTTTGCATTGTTTCCAGAATGTAGACTTATACGTGAATAGGTGTTACTGGTGGTGGCAGCGCCGCCCCTGTCTACCCCAAGACCAACGCTGAGCTCGTTAGCTACCTCGGTGATAGCCAGGCTCGCACGATTGTCCTCACTAAGACTTTCGACTTCACTGGCAGTGAGGGCAAGGCCACCTCTGCTGGTTGCCGTCCCTGGGGAACTGGCTCCGCGTGCCAGATCGCCATCAACAAGGACGGATGGTGTGACAACTACCAAAAGACCGCGCCCAAGGTCTCCAGCATCACCTATGACAAGGCTGGTGTCATTGGCATCACCGTTGGCTCCAACAAGTCTCTTGTCGGCCAGGGCAACAAGGGTGTCATCAAAGGAAAGGGTATCCGTATGGCCAACGGCGTCAAGAACATCATCATCCAGAACGTTCGTTTCACCGAGATCAACCCTCAGTACGTCTGGGGTGGTGATGCTATCACCGTCGACGGTGGTAAGTTGCAATCTGTATTCAAACTCGCACCCAGTATCTAACAAAGAGTGATTATAGCCGACATGATCTGGATCGACCACTGTACCACCGATCTCATTGCCCGCCAGCACATTGTCCTCGGTGAGCATGCTTCCGGCCGTGTCACCATCTCCAACAACGAGATCAACGGTGCCACCGCCTGGTCCGCTACTTGCGACGGCCACCACTACTGGGGAATCTACCTCACTGGCAGCAACGACATGGTCACTCTCAAGGGCAACTACATCCACCACACCTCTGGGCGCTCGCCAAAGGTTGCCGGTAACACTCTCCTCCACGCCGTCGGCAACTACTTCTATGCCAACTCTGGCCACGCTTTCGAGGCCGACGCTGGTGCCAAGATCGTCGCTGAGGGCAACGCCTTCCAGAACGTCAAGGCCGCATCCCAGACTGGTCTTGCCGGCAAGGTCTTTGCTTCCGGTGGTGCCGCTTGCAAGAGCGGTCTTGGCCGCAACTGCGAGGCCAACATCTACGGTGCTTCCGCTACCATGGCTGGCTCTGACACCAGCATCATTGCTGGATTCTCTGGAAAGAACATTGCTGCTGCCGTCTCCGGTGCCAACGCTAAGAATGTTGTTAACACTGCTGGTTACGGAAGGATCTAAATTGTCCCTTTTACCCCCTCGAATTAGGAGTGGATATGTGTGGAGACGTTGTGAAGGTGGCTGCGAAGTACTGCCATAGACTCTATTCTTCTGTAAATAACCTTTTTTAAACTATCGCTTTAAGCGATTGGTAAATACATTATATTCGTTGAACAAAAACAGAATCCTTGGTCATTTTCTTGCTTGTTTCACTTGGTGATGCCATAGCCCTGTTGTTCTCGATTGTTTACTTGAAACAAATGTACACGGGTACCTTGCAGCAAAAGGCTGCCCGTGCTGGAATCCACCTAGTAACAGGGGGAGGGGTAAGTGGGTAACACCGGCAAAAGTGGTAATTGATGGATTATATAATGAAAATCGACAAAACACATACTTGTGTGCATAAATGCATTATTTTGCATAACCTAATTTTTCTTTCCTATTGCATTCTTACTTAGGCTCCCTATCTTCACTAGTTTTATTATCTGGATTACGTGGGACACACACGCCCTGCCCCTAGTTCACTGTATAAATTACTCAGCCCAGTATACCACGCTCACTCTCATCCCTGCTGCACCCTTTAAATCCAACAAACCGGCTATACTTGCACTCTGTTTTCTTTCCCCGCCATCCCTTGTCCCTCCACCCCCTCTACTTTACTCTTTCAAACCCCCTCCCCCAAAATTAGCCACATCAGGGTAATTCCAAGTAGTTTTAATATTCCGACATCTATAGTTCGTTACAGGCTTTTTAAAATTAGACTTGTGTATTATTGTTATACACACGGGCCACGGGCCTTGTTTGGGGCCAACCGGACGGACGGGTACGGTCCGTTTAGGGGTTTGTTTGCGATAGAATGTTTGCATCTTTGTGTAGTAAGCGGGGGTGGAAATAGAGAGGATATTGGAGGAATGAGGTTTTTCCGTGGATATATTAAGAGGGAAGGGGTTTTGAGGGGGGAAAGAGTGGTATTGGGATCTGCGGGGTGAGGAGGAATGGTTGTGTGTATTGATCAAAGTAGTTTGGGGATGGCAGTATGGTATTTTTTGATTGGCAGGGTAGTTAGGAATCCAATAGCTTTCTTCGGGTTGGGGGTGGAAAAGACTGTGAGACTGCCGGTTATGCGATTGGGGTGGTGATGCGAGGATGCGTTTTGCGCAGTTGATTTTATTTGATATACTAAACCGAGTAACTGCTGAGTTTTGTCTCCAGGATACCACTCTACCGCCCCTATGCCTCTTCAAGGCGACAGCAAGCCTTCTATAGATAAGAGAGGTGAAGGAATTGATATGCAAATGGACTAGATATTGCCTGTGGATCGAGGTGCTTCGCGCTTCCAGATCTTGAGTCTGTGCACTTTCTGCTTACTTACTGTGTCGAGTGAGCGGATAACGCCCGGTGGCAATTCTGCGTAATCTCTGAGAAAAGAGCCATTTGCAAATTTGGATCCAGTGTGTCTGTGCTGATGGCTTTTGGTCCACCGCTGCGGCATTTGTGCGGTGCCCGCTCGATTCAGTTGAGATGTGTTTAGTGTCAGGAGAGCGCTGGGAAATGATCGGATGATCAGTTCTATAGAAGCATTGATCGTCTGGCCAGAGCTTTTGCCTGTATCGATGAAGAAGAGCCGGTTGGTAGATGGAAAAACTCCAGATGAGATGACAGGGTGCATTCTGGATTTCGGGAGGTAAATCTAGAATATCCGAATCACGGAAATAACTTGGTAATGATAATTAGCTTCCTCAAGGAGAAAGAGCTGATAAGACATATATGAAAAGAAGATCCGTTTCCTGTATGTGAGCTGCTTGCGTAGTGAGAAACTAACATATCGAGCAATCCGCCTCTTACACCAACGATGCAATCCAAAGAAGACGATACCAATGAACAGGCTCATTCATGTTGCACCTCAAAACAAAATATTCCAATAAAATGGATAGAGGAGAAGAGCAACTTACTGCCTTTAGGCAAAGATGAACTGGCATTAAACTTCCCATTTATCTCTAAACTATTATAAGCTTACTTCGCTTATATTGCTGCTTTGTACCCCTGAGGGTGTTCTAGCAAGATTCCCCATCTTTACTAATGCACTCTCATCGTTATCCAAGTTCTGCTCAAATTGCACGTCGAATGTCTGCATGTGGAAGATGTTTGGTGCCGTGTTCGACTTTTGTGAGCGGTTTGCGTCGCCTTCTGTCGTTTCTATGGCTCCTCCATTACCAGTAAGACCATGACTGTAACTGCCGTAATCATAGTCTGTTCTGGAGCTTCTGTTCTTTGAATCGAAGACCAAAGGGTATATGCGTACAAGAATTCTCCGAATTGTGGGCATACACGTGCAAAGAATTCCTACGTCCTGTTCTATACTAGACCAGTAGATGATAGCAGTCATGTCCCGTGTGGGATTGTCAGCATGCTCCAAGTGTGCGATGGACTGTAATCGAAGAGCGGAGACAACCGTAACACTGTGGGATATGTTTAACACCACGCGTTACAATAAGGTGGCTTACGTTTACTCACAAGGTTCCGACAAAGAACATCAAAGACACGCCCAGTTTTCGACGCCACGATAGCTGGACATAGATAACTTCAAACAATGGTATAGCCAGTATCCAAGTATCCAGAGCGATGCCGAGAACCGAGTTCGCCCAGTTGAGTGCGCCGAAATCGATGCAACTCTTTTGGCTTTTCATATCCCAAGATATCCAATAGAAACTGGGCGGTCGGCATTGGAGGGCTCCAGCAAGGATAAACGCAACTGTCCAAAGGGAAGTAAAGACAAGAGTTCCATATGATAGCTTGCGAGTAGTAGGCCTCGGAAAGATTCGTAGGAGGAAGAGAAGAATAGAAATCTTGACAAGACCGGCCTGGAGAAAGTACAGAATTGGGAGAATGTAGGCAGCGCGCCGAAAGGCAGTTATAGTGTCAAATGGTAAAGTCCAGACATCTCTGCCTAGTCCATTAGGAATGAGGAGTCTGTCCACAAGCACAACAGATGGTACACCAGTAAGCAATGCAGCTATAATGGCATTGTCATCCCATCCAGTGTTGGCACCGGAGAAGTATTTGAATAGAAGGCGAATGAACGCGACCGCCGCCGTGATGCTGAACAGTGTGATGTTGAGGACCTTCAATTGGGAGCCGATGTTACTGACAGGCGCGCCACACAGCGTTGAAGATATGTTTTTAGCCGCTGTAAGATGATGTTTCAGCTTTACTTCTCAACGGTATATATGAGAGATCCCACTGACTTAGGCTTTGCTTTATAGTGCATGTCTCGCGGACACAATCCTCGATCATGCCTTGAAGCTGTGTGTTAGTGCATATGCAACTTTCGTCCGACCCTGCGCACGAAGACGTTGGTATTAATCTTCCTGTGCATATTCTCTACGGCTGTAAGTCACTATGTTTTGGTATTGGCGGTTCGACCGTACGTACTGCGCACTCGGGGATTGACGCAACAAGAGCAGGATCCTGTGCGGTTGTCCATGATGTATAGGTTAACAGCAAAAACAGCAAATAAAGTTGCTTCATATTGGGGCCTTGGTTCTGGAAAGTGGGCCCTTGACCTTGGATATATAAGGTAAGGCCACCGCCCTAAGGGGTTGGGTTTCTTTGAAATTGATCGTCGGCATTGTCTCATTGTCACCCACCCGATATCAATGGCTCCAAACTGCTGGAACTCTGAGGAACCGGCCCGATGAAATGGTGAAGATCAATGGAGATGTACCCAAATATGCCAATTGGCTGTATTGGCCAAATCCGCTGCTTGATTTGATGCCTAAGACGGTATTTTGAAACTCCTGTGCCATCGATCGAGTTGTGGGGAATCATTTGGTCCCGGCGATGACTGTGTGGAGTTGCGCTATAGACCTTATCTAGTTAGCGCAGATTATATCCGGTATAGCCGAGGGGCTATAGCGCAGGGCAAGGAGCTCATGGTCGGTTGACATGCCTACACTAAGCTTACACAGTAGGCTGGATGGTTTGTAGATTGCGTTTGTCCTAAGCCTTCCCTGGATTAGAGGGTGCCTATTCAAAGCCTGAAGCATTTACCTCAGCTGCAACTGCCGTACGCAGCATCGCAAATTCACCGAAGCTATTACCACGAATGGCATGCAGTGTGTTCCTTAACATTACATTTAGCAGAGTTCGCAGCCGAATTCGCGAGATATCTCTTCTTGAGTCAAAATTAGACCATGCGGAGGCCTCGCAAATTCCGTGACTATCACGTCACGATGTGGAAGCGTGCGTTTGACTGGCAACTGACGGACTCTTAGATTTAAAGTTGTGGTGTCCCCGCTAAGACTGAACCAACAAAGTAAGACCGACAGTGGCTGGCTCACTCTCGTGTTCTAGAATAGAGTTCTCAAAAACGCGGTAATCTCCGCAGCTACTAACACAAACATAAGAACCGAGTTGTGTGGCTTATTTTCTAGCCCAAATCAGGTTCTATGATTCATCAATAGAAAGGTTTTTAATAACTCCATCTACTAAGAGGATATGATATATCGGAGCAAAATGGTGAGACACAAGTCTTAGCAAAATGGTGAGACACAAGTCTTAGCAAAATGGGTAGGCTACTAAGTTCTTGACTCTTAGGGCTATAGGAGATTTTTCTGCTAGTAAAGTATATTCCTTATTAAGGGCTCTAAAATGATCTGTCGAATTTCCTATTTGGGTCAGTATTCGCAGAGTAAATCGTAAAAAAACAATCCCGAAGGTGGAGATCCAGTTACCAACCTAGTGGGGAAACAAACAATACTTCATTCCATAGAAGCATTCAGGGGTGGATACCACAGCTCTCCATTATTCAGTGCCATAGCTATAGTTCAGTGCAAGTGGGATGCGTTCATCTTCTCTATAGTCTAAGAAGTCGAAGTAGACGAGTATCGCTGGGGTGGCCGAGAAAAATCAAAAGGCAGGCTATATGCACCGCCAAATCCCGACAATAACAGACAACGGGCCATAGCCTGCCCTACTATCCGAAACCAGAGTCACCATACACCCTCTCACAGGTTCGAAACAACCCTCTTCACTACCTCATCCAAATCCTCCTCTTCCAGCCCAAGCAACTCGTTCGCAAACCCTTCCCTCTCCTTCCAATCCGCAGCAACAACCCCCCAAACAGCCACAACCTCCTCCCTCGCCTCCATATCCCCCTCCAACATCTTCGGCCTACAAACCTCCAACTCCTCCTCACTCTTCTGCTCAACCCGCTCAAACTTCTCTCCCGTCGCCTTCTCCAGCGCCTCCAGCACCTCCAGCTGCGTCACACGGTGACTATGCACATACAGCAGCTTATTCTTAGTCTGCTCCTCCTTTTCCAAAACTCTAACCACCGCCTTGCCTATGAAATCGACATTGGATGCGGAAAACTTGATGTTGCCGCCATCAAGTAGATACGCCTTGCGGGTCTTGACGTCGAATTTTAGCAAGCCGCATGTCATACCCCAGTCGAAAAAGTGGCCAGTGATAAGACTTGTCCAGGTCAGGTTGCCCATACCAGGTTCGCGCTGTTGGTCCTGCAGCGAGATGAGGTAGTCTCTAACAACCTTCTTGCCCTTCATCAAGGGCAGAATCTCGTTTGTCTTTTCGTCGGCGGAATCGCAGCTCCCGAATTCGGCGGGCATGACGCGCTTGACGCCTGCTTTGAAGGCCGCATCGATGAGCTTCTTTTGCGATTCCACGTGGCTCCCCGCAATGGTGATGATCAAGGCGTCGATGTTTTTGCTGCGCAGCGCTTTGGCGACGACATCGACGTCTAGGTCGTCGGGGACGGTGATGACGTTTGTTTTTGGGTAGACGGATCTGGAGGTCTGGCGGTTGAGGACGTAGAGGGAGAATTCTGAGGCTTGGAGGGCGCGCAGGACGGGCGCGCCGAGGGTGCCTGTTCCGCCAATGAGGGCGACGTTGGTTATGGTCATGTTTGTGAGGGATTTGCTGGATTGGGATATAGAGATTTTTGTGGTATTGTCGAATGTTTGGTGCTCAATGGCTCAGATGTATGTACTATACTCTTGGGTTGACGTAGTCCGAATTCGGGGCGGCGGCTATCGACGCATAGATACGGTACTTTGTTTGAATTAGTTAAAGTGAAGCTTATGTTTCTGCAGCACCATATGAATTCAGTGTCTTTTCCTACCTCCATGTACTATGATCCCGTCAGATTTCGGAGCCAATTTATCGTCTCTCGTGGCTGGACCTCTATCACGAACACATATGATCAAATTGACTACAAAGTCTCTATTTTATGGGTAACAGGAGACCTTGGAATTATTCCTTACAACAAGGGAAGATATCTGAATCCAGCATGCAACCATACACGCCTTTGGGTTCGTGTCAAGGCAATGCGCAAAGCATGGGTTATTGAGTAAAGGAGCAGAGACATACTGGATGCGAGTAGGCCTGGTGATAAGATATATCATTTGCCAAGGAATCTGCGATTTGCTGCTCGGCGACTGCTAAAACGCAATAGTGTATGGGGCACTCCGTAGCCCTACTTGAGCTACTAGCGCTCATAGGAACGGTTTAAGTCTAACGGTCTGACTTCCCAACATGCGCGTCAACAATTTTTTTTCGATATCTGCATAGAACCTAGCAGCCGCCTTGTGAACAGCAACATCGCTGTTGTAGTGGTGTTAGTAGTGCGTCTTTTTTTCGAGAATAATCGAGAAAAATGAGAACTCACTTCTATTACACATTGATTATTGCTGCTGCAACGGGCAGGACCTGCATTAGCGATTGTCTCTTGGGTTCCAGGTGAACAATTTAACGCTGGGAAGGAGCAATGACCAGATCTGTTGCACTTCCCAGTCACGGTGCTCGCTCGAAACCCACACACACTAGCAGTTGAGACAGTGGCTAGGGATAGAAGAAGGATCCATAGATGCATTGCGTTGGGGTTATGTGGTGAACCTTTAGGTTGGCCGTTCAGAATTTCTCAAAAGGTGTAGGATCAAACGTAGATGAGATCGTTAGTCGCGTCCATACTTGCGTCTTTATATATTTGTATCTTCCACTCACCTACTTCAGGGGGCTTACTACATGCCCTCTTAAGATCCTGGTTTACCTCTTGATGCACCAAATTGGCAAGAACATTTACCCTGGACGTTAACATGAGCCACAAGCGAGATGATTTCACATAGCAATACACATTACATTGTGCAGCAAAGGCTTCCGTGCTGTGAGAACAGGCGTAGCAAGATCTATTCAATATTCGGTATGACTTTCTTTAGTGCCAGCAACAAGCTGCTCTTTTCCATTTGGACTACCGGAGGAGCGATGGATCAAATACTCCGATCGTTGTATCTGATCATCTTCGAGCACGATATGTATACCTTTTACGGTATGTAAGCAGCCGATAAATGTCCCACGAACCACACACGGCTAGGGCGTATGTGTGGCGCATAATAATTAAGCAATGCGCGTATTGCTTACATGTAGAGTAATGCGCCAAATTGCACAGAGATTCAAATACAGTAGCGTCATGGACGACACTTGCACGGTCAAATATATCGACGATTGTCGGTAGAAATGAATAGCGCAACTAAGAATACGTTAGTACTAGACAGAAGTAACAGGATTAAGATAAATAAGGTAGTCAAATGTTAAATCAAGGGTTGCCGCGATGAATGATAAGAGATGAAACTCAGAGTTAGAAGAAAAGGATAAGGAGGAGGATTTAGGACGATGGAATTATGATGAGAGCCGCAACAGAAAACGAATAGTTGACATAGGTAAACCTGCTTAGAGATTTGATAGATCCTCCTATACCGACAGTCATATGACATGCACGATGTCAAGAGGTGGTTTTAAGCAAGTATTATCCTGTGATGACTTCAGATATAGCCGGTGGATCAGCGTCACTACAAACTTAATTCTTCGCGTGATTCTGCCACATGAGCCTGAACCTGCAAACTGCACATGTGAGAGTCTTGAATCACAATGGCGAGAAACAATGGCGAGAAGCTGATCAGTTGGGTAAGAACCAAGCAATTGTCCTTCTGTAAGTATCAGCAGATCAAGGGTCAAAATCTCTGCTGAATTCTATAAGAAAGCAGACCGATGGATGTATCGAACCACTGATTACGAAACTATCCTTTCAAACCACGAATACCATCCGTCCCCTACAAATCACAGTAGACGAGCGTACCTGCATCACCCTGCCTGCAGCCTCAACACCAAAAACCCATACCAAGGAACCAAACAATCCCTTCTAAAAAAACACGATAAGCATATAATTCATACAACAATCATCTCCATATAATCCTAAGCGATCAATGGGGGTCCCCCATACACAAACCACATCCACTTTCCCTCCTTCCCCCCCTGCCAACCCCATTCCCCGGGACCATCCCTGCCCACAACCCCAAACCACGAAGGGGCCATGCCCATCCCATCACCATCTCAACCCTCGCATCCGGCCCCTGCCCAGTCCCAAACCTCTGCGCCGAAAAATATAGTACACTATTCTGAAACTTAACAACCATCACTTATACACCCTCTAGCTGCTTCCCCCCCCCTTGCAAACCCAACATTTACTTTCCGCTCTCGCTAAAACTTACCCTCTTCCCTATTATTACCGCATCTTATAGCGACAATCCAACCCCAAACACGGTTGCTTATACCCGTCTTGCTTTAAGAAAAAAAAAGGGGGGGTGTCTAGCTATAGTACTCGGATGAGCGAGTCCCCATATTTACCCAAGTACTACCTTTTGCTATCGCTTTGCGCCATGGCAAGGAAACCCCCCTCCCAGCCTTTAAATCTTCTTAATTACCAATATTTGTCGTGAGTGAGTGTGTGGGGGTTTTTTTTAAAAAAAAAGAGATCGTATTATGATGTGATATGAAGAATGATGATGATGATGATGATGACGACGATGGGGCGGGAAAATGCGAAAAAGCGCGTATGTCTCATACAGAGCAAAGAAAATACGTTAGTACTTGGGTTAAGTGGTGAGATGCAAAGACGAGCGTCACGCCATCTTACGATGCAAGATGGACACACCACCATGGGCTAAGCCTTACGGTGCTGCGCACGGACCTTATCTGTTAGTTATGTGGGACGGGTTTGTTTTCGCCCGGTAGTTGGGATATGGGATCTTGGCTGTGTGGGGAAATGCTGTGAGGTATATAGAGTTAAGAAGGGCGAATCTTGTCGTCAATTTTTTTTCGGTTTGTTTCATTAGATTATAAAGAGAGAGAGAGAGAGAGAGAGAACGTGTGGATTCGACAAACTTTTTTTTTGAAGAGAGATTGAGAACTCGGGAACAGACACACACAAATACACAACACACGACTATTACACTAGGGATAGGAATTCTGTTCTCAACAAACAAGGAGTGGAAACCATAAGAGGAGCCAACGACAGAGTTTGAATTTTCCAAACAACACACACACACACATACTACAGAGATGGCGACACTACAGAATCATCGGCCGATGCAGCATATAGATCGGAGGGAGCTTTATACCAGTCTCGAGGCACGGATACAATACCTCCATTCGTTTCTCGACTTTAGTTCACGTACGCTTAAACTCTGTCCCCAACAAAAAAAACAAAATTATACTTTGGGAAGCAAAAGACTAACTTTGAAAAAAAATGCAGGCGACATGGAAGCACTGACGAGCGGGGCCAAGTACATCAAAGCGCTCATCCCCGCGGTAGTCAACATTGTGTACAAGAAGCTTCTGCAGTACGACATCACAGCACGGGCGTTTGAAACGCGATCGACATCGTACCAGGGGCGCGTAGACGTCAGCAACCTCGACGAGAACTCTCCGCAGATTCTGTACCGCAAAATGTTCCTGCGGGGCTACCTAAACAAGCTCTGCAGCGACCCGTCGACCATGGAGTTTTGGGAGTACCTGGACAAAGTAGGCATGATGCACGTGGGGCAAGGGCGGGCGCATCCGCTGCACGTCGAATACGTGCACATTGGCGTGACGCTGTCGTTTGTTCAGGACATTATTACGGAAGCGGTGCTGTCGCACCCACGGCTGAAGATGGAGCGCAAGATTGCGCTTGTCAAGGCGCTGAGCAAGGTGATTTGGATCCAGAACGATCTGTTTGCCAAGTGGTATGTTCGCGACGGCGACGAGTTTGCAGAGGAGCGATTGGTGCCCGAGGTTGAGCCTGAAGGCTATCTGCACGGCAAACCTGTCTTGCGTGAAGGTAGTGGTGAGCGTGAGAGTGAGATTGAAGAGGCCGACATGGCGGCGGGGTCGTGTCCGTTTAAGAATTTGGCAGGCAGACCGAGTCTGGGGAAGGATCATCAGGATGCGCAGTATGGGGAAATCGTGATAGATACCGCAGAGGCGCCGAGGGCTGCAGCATCGACGACATCACCAGGCATGCGGGGGTTTGTGCAGAGCGCCATGGCACGGGCGGTGGGGAGCAGTGCTTGAGGGGGGATGTTGGATGTTCTTACTGTAGATACTATGCAATTGTAATGATGTTATTTTGTTGTTGACTATTTTCGGTGGGGGGGCGTGTGTTGTGTGGCGGTGTTGATTGGGAGCGGTTGCCGGGACGGATGTTGTGACGGTCCATGCACGGGTCAAACCGGAGGCGGAGAAACAGCCGCCGCCCCGAGAGCCGCGATCGGCTTGTCGTGATGGATGCCCTCGCCATCGCCGTGGCCCATGTCGGGTTGGCACGACAAATTCTGCCCAGCACACAGTCAGCCGTTTATGTGAAGATAGATTTTAAGTACAAACTCTATATGCACATGCTGCAATGTTAATTTCCATGTCGTTTGCTGCTGCTTTTGCATGATGCATGATGGATGAGGGGGGGGGGCAAGGACAATCACATGACGCGCGGCATTGTGGTGATAGGCAGAGCAGATGTGATGGTGTTGAGGGTGTTTCAGGCTAGGGCGGGTGGTTGTGTGGAGAGGACCAGTACCAAGGACCAGTACCAGTACCAGTACCAGCAGCGGCACCAACACCATGGAGCGGGCCTTGTATAGTAGCAGTAGACGAGGTAGGTGTACGAGTACTAGATGCTATTGTGTAGATGGTATAGTAGGCCTCACCGGACTCAGACTGAGCCCTGGCACCATGCTGCGCCCTGTTTCTCGGGCAACTAAGCAGATGTATCGTCTCCCAAACAGTGCACCCTGCCGATCCACTGGCGATCCGACACTTCCGTCTAGGATGCAGATGGTAAGCAGAGAAGGCTGTCGGTAGCGAGCTGGTAAGTACATACACACACACACACACACAGTAGATGCACATAGAAAGCACATGTCAGCGCATACTGCAATAAAGTCCCGCGGGCCATGACATGACGGTGCTGAGACGCAACTTGAGTCGTTGGACGTTTGCTGGCAGCGACTCAGCCGACGCGCGCCCTTGGCTCGGTGAGCGACTTGGCCGTGGATCCCTCGCACTCGCTCGCTCCATCCATTTGGCCCATGTAAGTAGTACTTATATCGGGGCGCGCGGACTGGGGGGCGCAAAAGTAAATGCCTAGTGGGCGTGCAGCGGCCGCCAGTGAGGCAGCGGGGAGGCGTGGTCGAGTGGCCAGCGTCGCCAGCGTCGCCAGCTTCGCCAGCCTTTTTTTACTTTGTTCTTTTTGCGCCTGCGTTTTGCTATCACCGGATTGCCTGCTTTTCTGAGACCACAGCGACTGCGACTTCCGCGCCAGGCCCCAAATGGGCGCTCGAGCCGGGGCACCCCTGCTAGTGCCGCTTGGTGCAGCCCATACCTGCGGAAACGCTCTCATTGCTTGCCCCGTCGTGTCTGTGTCTGTGTGTCCGTGTCTGCCTTCGCCGCCGCCGCCCTCCCTCTGCCCCCCCCCAGACCTTCGTTGTCACTGTCGCCCTTCATCACAACATCATCGCCGCCTGGCACCTCACCCTCAACCCCCCCTCCCCACCACAACCCCCTTCTCGCCCTTTCTCCCCCCTTCCCCCCCACCATCACCACCACAACGCCTCACCACGGCTTCTTGTAGCACTCACCCTCTGTAATCCCCCCCGACGCCTCCTGGATCCACGGCTTCTGCTGCCCGCTCCCCCCCCAGACTTGTCGTCGTGCTGGTGCGCCTGTTTTCTTCCTTATCAAGTGGCCCGATCAGCGCGCCTCTTGCCCTCCACGTCATCATCGCAACGGCTTAACTGCTGGTTGCTTCTCTTCCTGCACTCCTTCGCACACTGTTCAAATCCCCGTAACCCCTTTTAATATCCCCCGTCTTTCCTGCGCAAGTGCTGCCTCCGACTTGCGCGCTCGCTGCTGCCACTGCTGCAACGTCATCTCGCAGCTCCACTAGCTCCCCGACTTGGATGCACACGCCCCTCACAACGACAGATGACCTCTGTTGCTTTTAGGCTCTCTCCTCTCTCACAATGCAGTCCATGTTCCGCCTCCCATGGTGTAACGAGTCGCCTGGCGACAAAATCATGGAAAAGTCTGCCCTGCACAAGCAGAGGCCGCTGCCCGTCGTCGACATGCCAGCCTTTATGAGCAAGATCAAGCGGAAGAGGACAGACAGTCCTGAGCCTTCGCCCGCGCACCACGCGCATGTAGTAAAGAAGTGGAAAGATGCTCACGGTGACATGAAGCCGTCGGTGCAAACTGCACCTGCTGCTGCCTCTGCTGCTGCCCACGTTGCCGACGCCAGACCAAAGGCGCTGCCTGCAACAAAGGAGAGCAAGAGCAAGCCCTCAGCCCCTCCGCAACGGCCTGCTCAACCAACCTCCACCGCCACGCCTGCATCCACTACCACCACCTCCATGGACTCTGGTTTAACCCCTGTGCAGCAAGCTATTGAGGCCCAAATCAACTACGAGATTTTGCTCAAGCACAACGAACTCCGCTTGATTGAACAGGAGCTAGCCAAATGCCAAGTCTCTCTAGAGCAACTCAGGCGCTGCTCCATCATTCCCTTCCCAGGCACAGAGGGTCTTGATGTCAACGTCAGCCTCGGCGTAGGTCCGTCTCTGCAGCCCAGCGCAGGCTACACTCAGCCACAGTATGCTGCGCCTTGGGGAGTCACTGACGGCCCTTACACTCGCCACTACGCAAAATGGCTCATCTCGGACGTCAAGTTTGATCCCGTCTCTGAGCGTGCACTCGCCCAGCAGGCTCAAGGTTACTTCGGCACTGGTGAGGGCAGGACGACGCGCGGCAGTTTTGCTGACTACGGCTCAGCTCACAGAGGCCGCACGTCGCGAACTTCGACTGGAATGTTGAAGCTCACCCCTCTTGGTGAAACTCCAGCACCAGCGCCAAAGATAGATCCTCTATTGCACAAGCGATCCACCGACGGTCAGTGGGTGCGCCTCTACTGTGCTCAGTGCGGACATAGCAACTTTTCAAACACCCAGGGCTTCCTCAACCACTGTCGTATCAAGCACAACCAAGTCTTCAAGAGCCACGATGCTGCAGCCATTGCCTGCGGTGTACCTGTCGAGTCCAACGACAGCACCAATCCTGTTACTGCGAGTGAACCTGCCAGCATGCCTGCAGCAACGCCGGCAGTCTCCTTTCCTACCCCGGCTACTTCTGGTATTGTTCACCCGCTCGCGTCTCAGGCCGTACCCGCTGCACACGCTCCACAGGTGCATCGTCAGCTGAAAACTCCATCATCCAACGAGTCCAAATCTGCCCCGCCTCCTAGCTTCATCAAGACATCGTCAACCCCTTACCTGGCAGCCCGTTTCCAAAACAGCGGTGCTCAAGGTGACTTCAAGGAGATGCTGGAGACGGCCCGGTCCAAGATTGATCTGGATGCGATAGACACCTCGGATGACGACAGTGCAGATACTAGTGTTGCGCCGACGCCGGTAACAACCGTTGCTCCCCACCTGGCCCGTCTTCCTGCTAGTGCTCCTGCAAGCAAAACTCCGCCAAGGGCTGGCAGTAAGAAAGGTTCTCATCCAAGCCATGCACGCCTTCCCATGTCTCTCCCATCTCCCATCAAGCCTCAAGGACACGATGACATGCCACGCTCGCCCGTAGACCTCAGCCCTCACACAGTCGAGTCTAACCCGGGTCTAGTCAGCGATCATGATGACGATGATGACGACGATGCGGATGATGCGCACAGCCAACCTGACCTTGCTCTTGACACTCACGTCATGGTCGAGGACTCGAGCGACGTTGAAGGTGTGCAAGAACGTAGGGGCTCTCGGCAAGGACTGCACGGGTGTTTTGAAAAGGGTGAGGGCAGTCGTGAGCATTAAGCAGGACGAGCGAGTTAGGTCCGGCTTGTCCTGTTAATGTTTCCATGCCCCTCACCCCCTTTCCCCCCAATAATGCCCATGTCCTTGAACGATGTTATTCTTCTCTTTTTTTCCCTCTCTTTTTCTTCATTATACACGGGTGCCAGCAATGGACATGGAGGTCCGCTGGTCAGGACAGTGGAATTGTTCTGCTTTTCGTCTTTTTTTGTATTGCTCTGTCTTTTTATGTTTTGTTCTCATGATTCAACAAAATCAGTCAGACATCTCATCTCACGCGCGCCTCCAGAGGTGTTGAGTTAAGGCGCTGGAAACGTCGTGTATTATCATCCCCTGTATGGAACAATTGGTCTTCTTTGGTTGGAAACTTGCTACTGGGGTGGTTTAGATGGATTTCGGGGTGCTGGTACACTTTTTCTTGCTTTTGTGCTCCCCAAATACACGGTTGGCTTTCAAACGGGTCAGCAAAAGTCTGCGAGAGTGAAATCTCGCTTGCCCTGTATATATTTTAATCTCATGACGCTCTGCACTTTAGACTTGTTTTTTTTTCTTGAAGTGTTTGTGATTTGAGTTTTTGTGTTGGCGTTGGTGTTGGTGTGAGAGATGACATGTGTTTGGTAGAGATGATGCCACGATATGCTCTTGGATATTATATCAAAACACTACCCCATAACGCCTCGCTTTCAAAAACGCCCATGGTGGCTACCATCCTGCTGTTTAAACATGGCACAGTTCCCGCTCTTTAACCTCCTTCACAGAGAAAATCCCACATTTCCCACCTTTTCATCCCATAAACTCGAGCGCCTGTTTCTCCGTCAGTCATTTGAACTCTCCCTCTTAAACACTCGCACCCTTCCCTCATCCCCAAAACCATGCCGCAAAAAAACGAACAAGTAAAGAAAGCAAGGAAAGAAAGAAAGAAAAACTCACAGCCATAACCACACACGCAATACTAACATACGGACTCAACCTCTCGCCAACCCTCGCCGCCTTCCACAACGGCGACACAATCCAATTTTCCTTGTTTCGATCGATGATACCGGGGAACACCGAGTGCGCGTATGTCGAAGTGCAGATTGTGAGGAGGATGACGAGGAGGAGGGATTGGAAGTTGAAGAGGGCAGTCTGTGTGGGGTTGTGTTAACTTGAGGAAAGGGAGGATATGAGGGAGAAGGGGAGGGGAAGGTACCATGGTTGTTCGATGCTTGAGGAGGGAGTTTGTGGTGAGAGAGAGAGAGAGAGAGAGAGAAAGAGAGAAAGGGAAAAAGGTGGTGGGGGGATGCCTAGTATGAAGGTGAAGTCCGGAATTAACGCAGTAACCTTATTGCATATAACACAGGTTTAAACACAATGTTGGGTGAGTTTGTGGGTGGGTTTCCCGCGGCGGACGGAGTGACGGAGGGGGCCAGTGCGCGGCGCTGACCCGCCCTTTGGGGATCGTCATTGCAGGTCTGGGCTGCGTTTGATTGCGACGACTGAACAACCTGTTACATTGCTGTGATAGTTGTACGCAACTTTATCACTTGAAACGCGGGGATTAAAAAATATATACAGTAGTATTCCGACGCGCTAGATACGAAAAAAAACTCATCCACTTACCGCCGCCGTCGCAGTTGGAGTGGTCGTCGACAACCTTTCGCGCGCGCGACTTGGCCGCAAAAAACATGACAGAACCGCGTATGCGTCTGCGCCAAAAAGGCCAGCAATTCCCTACCCAAGACTGTACATCTTCCCCCACTCCCTTCCCACACATATCCACTCTAACACAAAAAAACAACAACAGTAGAAGCCTTCCTCCTCGCCTTCGGCGACAACGACTACCCGCTCCCCGAAACCGTCCGCGTGCTCGACGAAATAATAACAGACTACATCATCGAAACCTGCCACGAAGCCGCGTCGGTCGCACACCACGCGCGGCGCGCGAAAATCAAACTCGACGATTTCAAGTTTATGCTACGCAGGGATACGGGTAAGTTGGGCAGGGTGAGCGAGATGCTGGAGACGGATAAGGAGTTGAAGAGGAAGAGGAAGGCGTTTGATACGGATGAGGGGGCTGTGCTGGCGGATAGGGAGAGGGTGGCGGAGAGGGTCGAGGCCAAGGAAGATGGAGAGGGCAAGGGAAGGAAGGAGGAGGGGGAGGAGGAGAGGAGGAGGAAGAAGAAGAAGAAGAGGAGGGAGGGGGAAGAGGGGAAGGCTGCGTGAGGACGATTGTTTACTGCAAACGAGGGAGAGAGAGAGAGAGAGAGAGAGGGAATGGGAGATTGTGCGTTAATGGTATGCATGGATGGTCAAGTACAAGGAAATAATACCCCCAAAGAATGGAAATTGAATCACTACGAATTCGTAATCTGGTTATTATTGCCAAATAGACACTTATTCATACATACAGCAGATACAATACTCATCAGACGTCATACTCGCAATGCAAGTAATTCAGCAGGTCAAAATATCTGGCATTCCACGTTCCAACATACGCCTCAGCGTAGTGATAATTCTAACCACCGCGGCCGCGTCAAATAAAACTACTAGGTATACAGCGCTTTTACTAGGCAAAAGGCTTTTTTTTCTGTTTGAACAGGGAGCAAACAAGCCTGCAGCTCGACCACCCAAAACATCTTTCGTGGTCGTCATCATCATCATTTGTCATGGCTGCCATTCATGCCTTGAATCCACGAAAGTTTCCACGTCTCCAAGATCCGCCCGCATTCTCGATGCTGAATCTATCAACCATTTAGAAACGGGCATTCCCACGCCCTTTGTTGCTAGAGGCTTGACTCCGTCTAGAATAACGCGTTAGCCAAACGCCAAACTCCTTGCAATGTATCCCTTTTTTAGGCACGCTCAAGCCTCTTGTTCCCTCTGCTGCCTGCCCTTGCCTCCGCCTCGTCGGTCACCTCCCTTGCCTCTGTTTTCGCCATCTTTCTTGCCTTCGCCGCCAAGAACATCACCACCACCCATGGTCAGCGCTGCTGTTGCCAGGCGGTTGGAGAGGTCGATTTGTGTGCGGATTGTGTTTGCGAGGTATGATACCACAAGGACATCCTGGATGTGTGCGTTGCTGCTACATGTTAGCAAAGCCAGATACCATTTAAGAAAAACTGTGTCTCAACGTACAAGTCGCGCTCAATGTCAGCAGGCTCAACCTTGGGTGCTAAGCTGAGTGCGTTCATCAGGAACTGGCCCAGTGCGGATGAAGGCTCGGCCTCTTCGTCCAAAACATTGTTAACGTAGGTGGACACGCGCTCAAGCATGTCAAGAACATGTTGGATGGCGCGCTCCAATGAATCCAGGTCGGTCATAACCTCTTGTGACCGGTCCTCGCTGTCCTTTGCGGATGAGATGAGCTCCAGACCCGACCTCTCGGCCTCGCCGTACTTGATCTCGTGGGGCACTGGGATGAACAGGCAAGAGTCGGCTGCGCGCTCGGCAGTGACGCCAATGGGTGCCGAGATGTATGTCTTGGACTCGATATCCTGGCCGGGAACAGTTGAGACAGTCAGGTGGACAGCGGGGTGTGGCCATGTTCCGTCGCCCTGCTGGCTGTAGAAGTTCTGGATGAGAGCAGAGAAGGTGTTGAGGTCGCTGCTGGTTGCGTACCAGCCGACGAGCACTTCGCGGGGGTTGGCGCGGAGGTGAAGAGCAAGCATTTGCTTTTGGTAGTCCATGTCAACCTCGACCTGCTCGGCCGTCTCGGTATGGGGGACAGCATAGCAGTTGCGGATCTCAATCTCAGTGCCGTCTTCGCTGCGGGTGCCGAGGAGGGTACCAATGACGCGTTCCTGATCGGCGGGGCGGCGGAGGGCGTGGTCGAGGATGGAGAAGACGGCCTGTTCACAGCGGGTCAGAGAGCGAAGCTGGCGGCCTCTCACTGCAATGGTCGCATACCTGGGGCTGGATGGCGACGTTCAGCGGGGCAGTCGATGGCTGGGCACCCAGAGGCGCAGGGCCGAGGGGACGCGCGAGATGGAGGAAAGAGTCGTTCTCGGCCATGATAGCGATTGTCGTCTGGGCGGCGGTGATCGTGGACGTAGTCGTGGTGTTGAGGCGCTGGCGGCTATCAAAGATGACAATGTGGTTGGTGGGGCACGTCGATATTCTTCACGAAATCTGGGCAGGTGCGGCAGTTCGCTTGCACGGGCCATGTCGATATATTTTCTGGTGGGACCCTTGAACTACAGGCGCATCTAACTGACGCGCTATAGCGACTCGGAAAATTTAATTGCTGCGCGACACCAGCAGTACTTTGGGGACACCAAGTAGGTGTATATCCTGGATCCATTCAAAAAACCCTGCGTCATCGACTCCATCCTTATAACCAGGCGCATCCGACAATCGCGCGCATAGCGACTATGGCGCCCGTCAGAGGCCGTGGTGGTTTCCGGGGCAGAGGACGAGGTAGAGGTGGCGCAAGAGGAAGGGGAAGAGGCGGTAGTAGAGGGGGGTTCGCTGCTGCAAGGACCGCCGACGAGGTCGAAGATTCGTGAGTACGGATATTAGTTACAGAGAGGGTCGTCTACATGCTAACCGTCAAATGAAGGAATGTCAACATGCGTGCACCATCTGACTCTGAACAAAGCGAATCTGAAGGCTCCGACAGCGGTGCTTCCGAAGACGATGATGGCGAGGAGGAGGAGGAAGAGGCTCAGCCAGCCGCCAACGCCTACGCAGCTCTCCTCCAATCTTTCTCCGCCCGCGATACTGGCTCAGATGAACCCCGGAAAAAGAGGCGGAAGCTTGAGCACGATCACGAACGAGAACAGGCCGTTGCCAAAGACACCGACCAACTGGAAGACCCTGAAGCCAATGCGAATGACCGTGAGGACGAGGCAGAGCAAGGCGATTCCGACGACGACCAAGCAGACGGAGATGATACCAAGGAACAAGAGCTGGAGAAGGCCTACGAGAAACACTTTGCAAATCCAGACGAGAACGAACTGGCAGCACGGCTGAAACGGATAGCAGCGAACCAATGGTCATCGCATAAACTGCGCACGGCATCAGGCAGTGCAAAGGGTTTTGGCATTCTCCAAGTCCCGAGCGACGAGGTCCAGCCACCCTTAAGGAGAGTGAAGAGCACTCGCGACCTACAATTAAAGGCTCGACTGGTGGAGAATGCGCACAAGAAAGTCGGAGGCTTTGACCCAGCCGAACAAACCATTGCACCGTCCCTGTTCGGCTACCAAGACCTGCTGTTCGGCGCGCGAACAGTACAAAACGCTAACCGCCTTCGAGACATCACCTGTCTGCATGCGCTGAATCATATTCTCATGACCCGCGACCGAGTGCTTAAGAACAACGCAAAGTTGGCAGCTGCAGGCGACGACGACGATGCCGAATACCGCGACCAGGGCTTTACGCGTCCCAAGATACTGTTCCTTCTTGAGACCAAGCAGGCTTGTGTACGCATCTTGGATTCCATCACCAAACTCTACGACTTTGAACAGCAAGAAAACAAGAAGCGATTTCTCGACAGTTTTTCACTGCCAGAAGACAAATTTTCGGACGACAAGCCCGCAGATTTCCGCCAACTATTCGAAGGCAACGACGAAAACGAGTTCCGCATCGGCGTCAAGTTAACACGTAAGACACTGAAGTTGTTCTCAACTTTCTACAACTCCGACATCATCTTTGCTTCTACTCTCGGTCTGCGTCGAGCAATCGAGTCTGGTGACCCCAAGAAGCGGGACTACGACTTCCTATCATCCATCGAGATGGTAGTTATGGAGCAAGCGGATGCTACCCTCATGCAAAACTGGGACCACACAGAGTTCGTCTTTGAGCACCTGAATCTCCAGCCAAAGGATTCTCACGGCTGCGACTTTTCACGGGTGCGTTCGTGGTATCTAGACGGACACGCACCACATATTCGACAGACCATCGTGCTCTCCGCGTTCCTGACACCAAAGATCAACACTCTGTACAACAAGCACATGCGCAATGTAGCCGGGCGCTTAAAATACACTGCCGATAACACAGATGGTCTGATAGAAACAATGTCGTACGGCGTAAAGCAGACGTTCGTGCGTTTCGACTCACCGTCCCATCTTACCGATCCAGACGCGCGCTTTAAATACTTCAACACATCCATCCTACCATCGATCAACCGCATGCCGAGGCCGCCAGAGGGTGGTTTGGGTGTTTTGATCTTCATTCCATCCTACCTGGACTTTGTCCGCGTGCGCAACTCGCTCGTCGACTCGGACTTTTCATATGCTTCAATCAGCGAATATACCGATGTGACCGATGTGCGCAAAGCCCGCTCACACTTTATGAACGGAAAGCACTCACTGTTGCTGTACACGGGTCGTGCGCACCATTTTCACCGCTACAAGATTCGGGGTGTCAAACGGGTTGTGTTCTATGGTGTGCCAGAGAACCCGATATTCTATGACGAAGTGGTAGGCTTTATTGGCAAGACTCTGGAACGGGCCGAAATTAGTAGAGCAGAAGCTAGTGTCAGGGTGTGTTTTTCAAAATGGGAAAAGATGGAGTTGGAAAGGATTGTTGGCACAAAGAGAGTGGGCAAGATGATTGCAGACAGGGGTGATGTATTTGACTTTGTATAAACATGTATGATCTAAAATAAAAGGGGCACACTTGGAGTTCGCTCACCTAGCATCAACAGTCTTATTGGTTGGATGTAGTGAATGCACGCTGAATATACGATTTCTTCATCGCACTCACTACCACTTCCTGCGTCTATGCTGCCTATCTAAATGAATCCAAGACGCGTGCTTCGCCTGAGCGTGACACCTATCTGTGGAAACGTAATGAAAGCTTCGTTTGATCGTGATCTCAAAATCACCTGGCCGTTTGCAGCTGCTGAAGCGTTATTTCCACGTTGACCACTCGCTCCTGCTTTACCTTCACTTTCACCCAGCCAAGTCTGTAGGTACTTAAGCAGATCCATCTTTCCTCCAACCACTACTCTATAAACGAGTCAACTTTCAAGTAGTAGGAGAATCGGCCTACTCTCTTCCTTCTACTTCAAGATGAAGCTCCAATTCGTCTTTGCTGTATTGGTAGCCACTCTCGCCAGTGCTCGCGTGGTAGTGTCTCCGTGCCCATTACCTGAACACGTCACCCATGTCAACTTCACTCTCGTCGATGCTGCCTCTGTTAACTCAAACTCTTCCTCCAAAGCTCATACTTTTGCCGAACCAACCAAGTTCGAAAAGTCTGCTGAAATCGGACGTACGCTCGATGCGGCCATGAAGTCCAAAGACAGCATCGCCCGGTGGTTCTTCAAGGACTTTCCCAACTTTCAAGAGACATGTCAAAGTCCCTTTGATGGCGATGGGCGGGAGGATCTGGCAAGGTGGGGCTTCGACGACAGCGAGAAGTTGAGGAAAGAGGTTGAAAAAGAGTGTGACTTTGACGCGTATCATGGTATCAAGCCTGCCTTTGATGAGCTAGGCTTGGACACCAAGGCAGAGAAAGACGGTGGGCCGAACAAATGTTTCAAGATCAATCATCGTGACGGTCCTGCTATCAAAAGGCTCCCGGATGGTTCTCTCCCTCTTGAGTCAAACCAGTACTACGATGTGTGCGGTAAGGAGTATAGGGCAAGTGTTTGCAGATCACTATTCGACAAGGATATTGCTGACTGATATTTAATGCAGGCAACAGGTGCTACATACGAGTTCGCTGTTAATCCAAACGGACTCGTCGTCCTCATGAACATCATGAGCTTGAGTTTCTGCGCCGAAAAATTCACCTGGTTCCGAAAACCACTCCCCGAAGAGCTACCTCATATTGGTACACCCTCGGATATAGCATGGGCTGTCTGGAACCGAGCTGGTGCCTCCAACATTGCTGATGTCAAGTACCTCCTTGTGACACAGATCATGAACCCAACTTCTCGAGATATGATCAGAACAGCGCTTGGAACACTGCAGCCTCCTCAGAGTGAGACCAAAGTCTGGCCAGGCAGTGACTTTACCATGGATACGGTTGGGGGCAGAGCAATCTTGGGTTAGTAGTTCATGTAGTACTAAAGTGATTGACAGTTGGGTTTTAATGCTGACTGATGGACTAGGGTCACCGATTGGACGATGGGTCGGATACTTCCTCTTACAGCACAAGAAACAACTCGGTGGCAATCGATTCATTTCAAAGATCAGAGTCTTTCGGCCCAGTACCGCTTCTCTTCCATATCTCGTCTTCTATGTCGATCCCACGCCAGCTGGCCCTGGTTCAGCTGCGGAGGTAGTACCTCGTGAACTAGTAGAACTCGATGGCAGCCTTGAGAGAATCGGAGAGTCTGATGGTACGAACTCATCGCATATTGTAAAAAAGAGTGCTGATGGGAAGCACGTGGTGCGGGAGCATATCTTCCATGGTGGGACTTGGGCAACGAAGTCCGAGGAAGATGTCATGAACTTTGGCTTCTGATGCGACAAGGCAATATGACGGACTTGAAGATTCGTCCGACGGGGAATACATATTCCAGAAATTATGGTGGCTGGGCTGCTTTCTAATAAGAGCAATCACCAATACTGACTAAGACGTGCATGAGGCTTTTAACTAGGCTAAAAAAATGTACTCACTACCTGCATAAGTGTTTATCTGCTCGTATTATACATACCGCGATGGCCGGGGCGGATGACTGTATCAAGCCAAGCGCACCCACGGCACGAACGGGTGCAGGTCGTGTTGAACATGATCTCATGGAAGCCAGTGTCCCGCAAGGGATGAGGGTATGCGGGGATATCGTCATGAAAAAATGGTGAATAGCTGGGAGAGAAATCAAGGCACATGGCGCACCCAAGGCGATCTAGTCATGTCCAAGTCCCCCACACAGCCATTGTACCTGCGTCGCTTGCCCACCCAGCATCGTGATCTAGACGTATGTGTATGCCAAAAGGCGAATCGTGCCGGGATAAACGGCAGAACCTGAGCGGTCCGTAGGACTTGGCAATATTTGCACGGTGGTTCCGGCTCCTTCCTTCGCGGGGTATCGTGACGTTCTGTTGCCAACCAAACTTAGCCACCAACTCCACGACCTTACCACTCACACGCTGCCAACAGAGACCCCTGATAAGACCTTTCCGACATCCCTATTTTATGACTCCACGCTGAAGCATCGAGGGGCCGGGTTTGAATTTGCCGGGTGTGCGGTGAAGGGCCACGTCGGAGTGGCTGGGGCGCTCTGTTTAACGCCAGACTCCACCCGCAAGATAGGCGCGAAACACGTCTCGCCAAGCGTACGCCTCATCCCTTCTTGGCCATGTCCAATGGCTCGCGCCCGTCCGGAATACTCATGGTTCCAGTGTAGCGCTACACTGCGCTGACACGGCCAAGTACCTCAATGAGCGGATCGTGGCGGTGTGCCGAGCCCTAGACAAGCTTTTCTGTTCTCCGTTTTTGGGCGTCGATATGGCTGCGAGCAGGAAACCCGAGTCGAGCCTGTCGCTCTTATTTTAGCGACGTGGTACCCGTGCCTCCAGTACATACCTGCCTTCTTTGTTGACACCCTGGAACCTGGATTACTCTTCTGCATTGCTATCGTTGCCTGCACGTCCTGTGCCAGGTCCGATTCTTGCGCACATACGCCAACATGTTGCGATTCGACGTTATTCTCAAGTTGGCTTTGGTACCGTCGATACTCTACCTACTCACATCTGTGGTTTCGGTGGCTTTGACAACGCACTACTGGATCCTAACCGACTGGGTTGTACCGCGAGGCGTTCTCGTTACCACCTCTGACTTCGATGAGCGAGCGAGGCAGTTTGTGACGGATGCGACAATTGTGTATTTTACCGACGCGGATACTGATGCGACAATTGTATCGGGATGCCTGAACTTGGCCGCGGCCGTTATCGCCATTATCGCATGGAGCACTCTGCGAAAACCAGGAATGGACGCCTTGATTAACTCGGTTGGTGTCTCAGTTCTTACACGGAAACATCAGAAATCTAACTTTCACACCTAGACTGTACGCCGGTTCTGGATACTCAGTCTTGTCTTCATGTCCCTTGCTGGAGCGGTCATGGCCATCGTCTCGCTTGCACTGCACTACACGAAACTGGGCAACGACCAATGGGGATGCACTCAGGAGCGACTGATGATGGGTGGAAAAATGAATACCAACGTCTACTGCACCCGAGAAATGGCCGCATGCCGATTTCAACCCGGATTTGTCACTGGTCAGGATAAGCAGAATGCTAGCGTTGCTTGCAACGAAGCTGTAAGTTCCTTATCATCACATGTTGTGAAATGCTTTTTTGCTAACATCAGAGTAGACTGTAGTCAAGTGGATGCAAATCATCTTGGTACTTCTAGGGCTTACTGTGCTATCCATGTTCTCTCTCCAGGCTTACCTGCGTCGAACCAGCAGAGAGACTAGACTAATGGGACAAGGAGCCCTGACGGAGAAGATTTGAAGCGAGCAGATTTCCCGGACTATAGACGACACATGATTTCCCACGCAGTCAACGAATTTCCTTGCACCACATCGTTCTTGGCGTTTGTTTTTGTTCTTAGCATGCATATGCATTGCACGACACTGCATCAACTTTGGGCGTTAGCATCCCCTCCTTCCCTCACAAGTGGGCCACTTGCGATACACACACACGTACGACGTAACGAAAATTTTAAAGCGCATGATAATGGCATGATGAAAGCGTGTGCTACGATGGAAGTTGGCAGAAGATACATGCCTGTCAATTTTTCTTTCTGGTTCTAAACAAACTTTAATTGAACAAACTAGACGTTTAGCTCCTCCCCCCTCCCCTGCAAAAGTGTAGTTCCATGTCGAATCATGCTGGAAATCCCGACAATACCATGACACCTTCACATCGCATACCTACCTTTCCCCACACACCCGCAACGTAGATCCCATCCCGCCCGTCAATCCCCGACGTCAATCTCCCACCGTGGCGTCCACACACACACGTACATGGCCGAAATGCACAATTCCCATGACCACCCATCCCCATCTCTGCATCTACTTGTTTCTGCCTTGGAAAAAAAAAATTCCCCATCCCACTTCCTTGCCGCACTCACCAACGCTAACCCAATTCAACGCATCTCTTTTCTTGGTTTCCGCGGCGAGTGCGAGGAAGTTAAAAAAAATGCGCGCTTGGGCGTAGTTTAGTAGCTTCCCACTCACACTTGTCCACGCACCAAAACCTCCTAAAAAGGGGGGGGGATTGGAGAGGGCGGCTTGGCAGACGTCATATGAGGGACGTCATTGGCTTGAGGTGTGAGGAGGTTGGAATGGGAGTGAGAGTGGGAAGGGTAGGAGGTGTGAGTTAGAGGGGAGATGTTGAGATGGTAGGCGGGTAAGACGGAGAGTAGTTGGGTTTAGGGATGGATGGGTTTCGGGGAAGTTGGGTAGTCGCTTTAGGGTGCTGAGGTGATATTGTCGGGATTATGTGAGATTGGGGAATTTTTGTAGTCGGAGGAGAGAGGTTGAATGGTTATGGTGGTGTATGGGAGCGGATAAATGGTTCTAGGAGTTTCAGTCCGTATGTGGAAATTTCTTCGAGTGGCTTTGTAAGGCTTGCCATAGAGAGACTAATAGTGGGAGTAGCGGCCTGTAGTCTTTGATATTTTGTATGCTTGTTATTAGGAATGAAGGAGGGTTTTTTATGTCTGCATGATAGTTGCGGATGTATGTGCTCTTTTTACATTAGCCTCGAGTATCGTCGTTTGTCGTGATATCGCCATAAACCTTTTAGAAGACAAGACGGCTTTGTATGACAAGCGATGTGGAGTATTTGCCCAACATCCAAGACTCATGCGGATATAACTATCATCAGTGATAAGTGAATCATGGTGGGTTAACAGCATCTAGGCGTGAATGACGAAGATGAGACAGTTCAGTGGTGTTAGTTGTATAGTGACTGCCTTCAACACATGGACCACACAGCTGTTTGTTTACACACTGAGGCCGCTCCTGCCTATCACAAGGAAAGCACCTTGCGCACTGCATGCCTCCATATTCCAATTCTCGACCTCTCAGAAGCTCCCTTTTCCATTCAACACTGCGAAATGGCGCCCAGCATTGCCTATCCCGGCTTATATGCTGAAGTCACTGTTGACGGGTGCCGGCTGACAGAGTACGACGATGGCGAAGATGCACGCTCTAAAACCAAAACAGTCTACATCCAGTCAGAAGCAGGCGAGCAGTTTGGCGTCCAGTACTTCATCCCTCCGAGCTTATTCATGGAGTACGGCATCAAAGCAGAGGTCAGCATTGACGGGGTCAGCATGCGCAAGTACATCCATGACAACTATGTCGGCCGTCTTCATGGGGTATCAAGGTATGCATGTGCCAGCAGTGCCCATATTGGAAATCTCTTCATCGGGCAGCGATTTCGGTTTGCCACTCTGGACACACGTAAGCTTGATCCCTCCATCTTTTCAGACTGGCCTAATAAAGTTCCTCACAGACGAAGAGACGGAGACAATAAACACAGCGGTACAGAACCAGCTAGCAGTCACAGGCGACATATCGGTGTCTTTCTATCGCATCACCAACATCCGTGTCTCAAGTGCAGGCAAGAAGGCTCCAACTATACACGAGTATGACAAGGTTCCAGAAAAGGCACTGAAAGGCTCGGCAGTGTCGCTCAAAACACAGTACAACTCCAAGTAACTTCTCTCTTTCTCGAGTCTGCTAACTGGCCGAATAGACTCGACCCATTCGAACGCATTGCACCAGTTACGTGGGTGGAAGCCGATCATGTCGATGGAGACCGCCCATTTGCTGTTATTCGATTCAAATATCGCTCTGAAGGTATGCGACACTGGTCCAGAAAAGACAAAGCCTAACAAAATCACATCATAGCTGCTCTCCGGTCGCTCCATATACCCCCTCCGCTTCAGAATTCTGTGTCCTTAGAGAAGGGCTCCGCCAGCCCACTTTCAATGGTGAACAAGGCTCAGCCGCTGGATGATTATCACGTAACGAATTTCCTGTGTCAGCAGAACTTGCAAAATCATGACTAACAAATTGTATGCAGCCAGGGAAAGAAGAAAAGCCGGTAATGAAACGACACCGTACCGAGAATGACGAGGACTCCGAGGTCAAACTAGTGGAGGAAAGGAGTGCAAAGCGTCGATGCCTACCCACCGATAAGGATGAGATCATTGTACTGGAGTGAGAGCGCTGTATATGCGAAAAAAAGGTGGTCATATGTGGAGTGAAGAAGGAGGCTCGCACTGTGTTCTGCTGGTACGAACACGCTATGTCGATGACTGGGAGGACATGTCTTTTATGCTAGGCATACTTTAAGTGATATGTTCCCTCAATTATTTACACCCAAAATAGAAAATTCCAAATGTAAACAACTCACATAAATCTCTACAAGTGACTGCGGTCGTTGGAAGTGTAAGGAACACATTGCAGCTGACCGAATTCGCATCGTCCCTCGAATTCGATGAGATGATCGCCAAAACAATTTTAGCCAACCGCAAACGAGACTTTTGCAAAGGAATAGAGATGGATAAATATATATATATTTTTTTTTCAAAAATAGCAAACTCTCTACCCCACCTATCCGCTACAAGATCATCTTAAACAAGCTCACATTGTTCTGGTTTTGATTTCATTCTGTTAGATTAAAGGAGATACTACTTTGGCCTGCCTGGATACCATTGCATAAAAGAAAAGATAAATACCATAACCAGTTGCTTTCTCACTGCTCGCAGCTATAAGTTTGGCAATCTACAGGCTATCTCTCTTCGTCGTAGACCTCAGCTTGACTTGTCGGCTTGATACTTATCAGCGACAAACTCTCATCATCGGTCGGGCATCTTGTTACGAGTTAAGGCGCCTTGAGGAATGAAATGCATAGGCAGGAGGAACAGCTGGTTTTATACTCGCTTTGGGAGCTGGATAATTTGGTTTAATGATGATGAGTCAACCGCCTGGATTCTTGGTTGAGGGAGTGAGTAGCTGTTTATAATTTGGTTGTCGAACAACAATGTTCGTGCACTTGCCACCAACTTCAGGGCTGGAGTTGCTAATGGGGAGTGTCAATTGGTTTCTGCAAGTAATTATATAGACTATATTTAAAAGAAACTACACTAGAGCATAACGATTACAAACGTGCCACGTGGTTCCCTGGCAGGTGATGAGCGCAACTTTTAAGCTCGTAAAGAGGCCATTGATAAGCCATATGGCGAGAACGGGATGTATGAAAGCAGTGCTCTGCGACCGCCATCATCGCGCCACGGTACCTGATTATGCTCTACGTAAGATCGATAATCTCGCATCCATTCTCGTTGATGGTGATGTTGGGTCGTGGGCGCTTTGCTGCAGATACGAATGATACCTCACCGTCCTCCTCGCTACCTCCAAGGATAATCGGGTACTTGCGTTTGAGACCTGGTTCTTTCTTTACTTTTGTCAGGAGACTGTTCTGTTTCGACCCTGGTGCGTTGACCAGATGCGTCTCGTTGTCTTTGGCTTGAGTGAGTTGAGGAGACGGGCTCCGCGGGATGACGAGTAGCGACTGAAGGGCAGCTATAACCTGTTAGCCAAAGTGTACTCCAAGAAGAAAGTCTACATGAAAGCGACATATACCTCTCGAGCGGTACTTAAAGTTGAAGATGGCAAAGGGTAGTCGCTGTAGATTGACATAATCGAAGTCTGTGTGGCTCGAGCTTATATAGGGCTCTTTGACTTCCGTGCCTAGCCTGTATCAAGAATCAATATAGGGTTTATAAAGATCAAAGGAACATACCCTGCCCAGTGTGTTAAAGCCTGCCCTTTCAATGCCTTTTCTGGGATTGGACCGACACCAGTTTGCTTCTTTTCGATATATTTCCTGTTGGAGCGCACTTCTCGGAGATTCTCAATGTAATAAGCTTTGAGGGTGATGACACCAATTGATTTCAGGTCCTTGATGAGACCATCTCCTAGATTATAATCATATGATTCTTCTAAATTACATTTGTTAGCAGACACAGCTCAACCGGCGGCAGGTATCTCACCAATCTGAAGCTCGGAGAAGCAAAACTTTTGCAATGTGCGTTGTCCGTCCGCAATCTTTGTAACAGTAGTGTTGAACACCCGCTTCACGCTCCCTTTTGCACTCTGATATTGGTGATCGCCGATGATGCGCGAACGAACGGAGTTGCCGTCTATGTAGAGCTTGACAATCATAGCGTAGCGAGGGAATGGTTGATGGACTTCAACTTGGACTGCAAATTCCGCGCCAGATTTTGCTTCGACGTATTTGGTGACAGTAGTGGTGGTTGTATTGCCATCGTCCTCGTCAAACTCTTGTAGTCGTGCCCCGTTGCATTCGACGTGAACTTTGATTCGGGGGTTTTCTCGTGTAATGGCCATGGTTTTATGAAGAAACGACGTACTTATACGTCAGAGTTAGATGGAGAAAGACAGTGAGATATAAAGCGAAGTATAGTGGACGTGGCGAGATTGTATGTGTGTGTGTGTGTGTGTGTGTGTGTGTGTGTGTGTGTGTGTGTGTGTGTGTGTGTGTGTGTGTGTGTGTGTGTGTATGTGTTACAGCAGTGTCAAGAGTGAGCAGTGTGAAGTGAAAGTGAGGACGTGTAGTTGCTAGTCGTGACTGCTATTCTTGGGCTGCACGACAATGCACCACCGCCGCGCTTGCTTATATTGGAGACAGAGTCCAGCTACCAATACGAGTGACCGACACCACCGCAGAAGCAAGCAGAGGTGTCCATTAGCAAACATGCGCTAAGAACTATGCCCCGTACCTCATGACCAGGTAACACACAAAACTAACGCTTTCACGGCAAGGAGACAGCGATTTCATATGTACGAATATTCTATTCACTCATCAATACTACAGGTAGGAACCACCTGCGCAAAAACACCTCCCTAACCATGGTCCTATTCCAATCCAAAGCCTTGATGCCCAGAAGCAAGAAAAACCAAACAAAGGAGAGAACGCAGCCCGTCAAAAAGGAGCTCAAATGTCGAGGGATCCATGACAGGTGATACTAACAAAACATTGCGCCGAAGAGGCGAGAAACACAAGCCTAAGAAATGAAATGTCGAGCCCTCGCAAAGAGATCACATCCAGTACGCCTTATGCATCAAAAGCCCATGTGCCAGATGCCTATTGTACGTAAACAGAGATTGAAGGAAACGCTATGCAGTCGTTATCATGGAAATATACCTCCATACAATGGTATCATTTGCTGATGTAGATCAGGCTGTGAGGTTTGGAAGATCGCAATGGTAATAATGCCGAGATGGATGGTAGAAAGTGACTCGGTGGTGAGGGGCCACCGATGGAAATGGAGATGGGCAGTACCAGTAGATGCTGTCATTTGAGTTAGCATCAACTGGACTGAGCATCTACCATGCACCTATGCTGGCGGAGGAGCCACTTCCGTAGTTCCCGCTCAATAGTTGCTGGCGAATCGACATGGCATCAGTAGGCCCAGCTGTGGTTGCATTGCCAGTCTCGGCACCCATCCAGCCAAGACCCCCGCGCAGCTCATTGACAGCCTCTTGCATCTTTCCACCTGAGACCTCATTGTGCTTGGCAATCTTCTGATCCCATCCGCCATACTGGAGTTGTATTCCACCTGCTCTCTTTGCTGCCTCCCGAATGACGATCGCCCATGCCTTAGCCATCTCTTCATATGCCTCCTGTTTGTGTCGGTTGTGCTGGTAGGTATCCCAGTTGGGAAGACGATGGAGAATTTCGGTGGCTCCATCCAAGAAGGCGAGTGAGGTGGCAGGTTGTTGTTCGTTTGGTGGGAGAAAGTGAGGCGTGAAATCCTTGAGAGAGTCCAGCAGATCGTCAAGCTGTTGGCGGACCCTGTTGTATGCGTAATCTGATGATGCACGGTTACCAAACGGAAATGCCCCCTGGAACGCCGCCTCATATTTGGACAAAACTTCCATGGCTGATTGGATACTGGGGCGAGGCGCTGTGGTGACGACTTCGTTGCCAATATCTGGGTGGCGCTGGCAAATGGACTGGAGTAGGTTCCGCATCTCGTCGGCGCTTAGTGTCTCGAGGAGGCGCGGCAGAGGGAGTGGTCGACCGGAAACATTGGTTCGCATACGTTTCATGCCTCGTGGCGCAGGTCGGGGGAGGATGGCAGGAGAAGTAGATGGGGATGCACTCATGCGGTCGTCGTCGCCGGCACTTCCCTCATCGTCGGCTTTCCGCTTGCGGCCCGTCACGGCAGTGGAGGATGGCATGACTGAAGAGTAGTGTCTGAGATTAGTTGCTGGTCCGTGGTTGATGTTTTGGTAGCAGCGAGTGGACATACTGTTGCGAGTGGGCGAGCGACGGTTGTTGTTGTTCAAGAGGTGAGGGGGCGTGAAAGCCTGATATTGTACGTTCATGGCGACAACAAACGGCCCGCAAACGCTGTGAAAGTCGCAGATCTGCTTTGCGGGACACCGGGCGGCGGGTGATGATGCGTAGAAGGTGGCGCGGGAGGTGATGTTTTGGTTGCGTGGGCGATTTGGGCGGTGTCGGGTGCGTTGTTGTTGGTGGTGGAGACAAGCAGAGCCATGCCCAGCAGAACCCAAGATGGTACGTGCTGGGAGACCGACCGTGCACCACGTCACGTGCTGTCCGGTGTAAAAGCCTATGCTATGTGCATCCTTGGAACCCCTCGCGTTGCACGGTCTTTATTCCCGGATTAATTCAATTCAAATACCCTCATCATCACAACAATGTCACACGATATCACGTCTTGAGTTGCATAGTATGCTGGGAATCATGTATCCGTGGGGGATCATCTGCCACGGCACTAGGTCCGCGGCATCTGATCTAGTCAATTTCTACCCAGGACACACCTTGTGGAGTCTCTCCTTTTGAAGGACCAAGCGGTGAATGCCCCTTTTGCGCACCTGAAAAAACTTGCTTGTTCGTTTTGTGGCGCTTTCGTTTAGATGTCATACAAGGGAACGCCATCATCTACATACCGCACTTACCTGCTAAATAACGAAAACGTTTACAGAGACTCAGCAATACCATGTTATACAAGACACAGACGCAAGAAATCAGGTTAGAGGTAAAGAGATTGGGCCGCGACAAGATCCCGACGAACGAGCTCCAGTGCTGCAGTAAACTTTTGCTCAAGCTCTTCACTGCCCATAACTTTGGCGGCTTGGGCTATCTGCCGGAGCAACTCCTCCAGTCGCCTGAAAAGGCGAATCAGACTGCCTTCGTAGACATCGGTCATTTTGCTGAAACACATTAGCTATGGATCAAGTACAAGCGGCTGGGCGAACATACCAAATCTCCGAGAAAGTAGCACCCTTTGACCAGGCAAACACGACCTCCATGAGCTCGTATTTGAAAGATTTAAGGTATTCCTCCTCGTTGAGCGTCAGCTTGCTCTCTTGCGACATCTTGGCGATGACTCTGGCTTGCTGCTGGATCTCGCGGTAAGGCTTGGCGAGTTCTTCTTTTAGCGCTGGCACTTCCTGTGTCTTCTCCTCAAAGATGAAACAACTCAGACAGGCGGCGCATTGCTCGGGTGTCAGCTCATTGAAGAAACGGTTGAAGAGCAGTTCACTGAGAACTAGCTCGTCGCCCGTGCTGATTTCGCAGGCAACGCGGGCTTTCAGCTGGACGACATCGGTGTCGTCGATGAAGCCTAGTCGACGCAGCACACGTTTCCTGCTCTTCAGTTCATCAAGCTGAATAACGGACAATGCGTTGGCGATCTCCTTTTTGGTGTTCTTGATCTTTTCACCAATTGCAATTTTCTTTGCGTACTGGCTATAAAGCTCAGGCAACCTGGGCGAGTTGTGAAGGGGATTGGACAGGAGACGAGACTCCAGTACTTCGATTTTCTATGTCAAGTTAGTCATGCACTATAGCAGTGGCCCGTAGACACCTACCCTTAGAAGTCTCTTGAAGCTTTCATCCTTGATATTCATGTTCTCAATAGGATCCAAAATGGCAATACCGTCTGGGAAACGCTTCTTGACTTCGTTGAGTGCCTTGCGAACATTATTCCTCTGTTCCGTTGACTTAAGATCATTTGGCAGGAACACGCGGAGGTGACCAATTGACTCAATGCAGTTGAGAACTACGGGTACCACTTCCATCTTGCCCTTGTCACCAGGCGCAGGTGGCCGGACACCAGGGGGTAAACCATCGTTCACTACAGGAGCAAACTTGTTGTCACTGCCGACGATGAGCAGAACGTCGACAATATATGACTCTTGAGGTGGTAGGACTTCGCCCTTGTTTGCTTTGCGAGGGGCAAATGCTACAACTGCACCCCAGCCAAAATCATGATCTTTGTAGCTAACTTTGACGAGCCGGCCACCCTGCAGGAATGGTAGACAGTAGTTGGGGTGCATAATTACGTCACGCATATCCTTGGTGTGAGTGTCCAATTGTTGTCGCAGGTTGTAATAGTCCTTGACGGCGGCTTCGTCAATGATGGTGGTGTTGAGCTTTTCTTGTTCGAGTTCCTCAAGTTCTATAACTGTCAATGTATGACCAGGACTAATGGAGAGTAAGACTTACGTTTTTCCAAATTGGAGACACCAGCTGTGCTCTGGAATTGATAGAAGCACTTTTCCAGCATGAACTCGGGAGAGATGCCTTCCACTCGCATTAAGTTCAGAATCATATTGTAGCCAAGATGGAAAGCCGAGTTCAAATTGTCCTGCTGACCGCGCACAATTTCCTTGGCTACAGCGGGCTCCATCTGCTCGTCGATCATCATGATGACAATACCACGATCGTCAAGACCACGACGACCGGCTCGACCAGACATTTGAATGAATTCCGAAGGTGTAACCCATCTTTGGGATACTCCGTCAAACTTTCGTACACTTGTGAATACAACAGTCTTGGCTGGCATGTTGAGTCCGATGGAGAACGTCTCTGTCGCGAAGAGTACTTTGATCAAGCCCTCCTGGAACAGGATTTCGATGGTTTCCTTAAGAATGGGAAGTAATCCAGAATGATGAACGCCAACGCCTCTCCGAAGAAGAGGAAGAATGTTCTGGATCTGAGGTAATTGCCGGTCCTCCTCCGAAAGCATCTCAATGGCGCTGTTGAATACCTTCGTGACCATGGCCTTCTCGGATTCGTCGTTGAACGCAAGGGAGCTCATGGCTAGCGCGTAGTTTTCACACTCGCGCTTACTGAAGCTGAACACAATGACGGGATTGTAGCTCTTAACCATGATCATCTTGACGATCTTGTAAATGTCCGTCTGCTCTCTGTTGCCGCCTGTATTGGTCTTTTTGTCCTTGCCTTTGCCCTTGCGCTTGGCCATGAAGTCCTTCGCGTCAGTTCCAGCCTTGTCGGCGATGGATGACATAGCCTTTTGGAAGTTCTCTTCGCGGAACACGCCCTTCTCGTC